CACTGAAAAACGAATTAATTCCAATTACAATTACTTGCTTTAAAATGTAATAAATTCCGGATTACAATTACTTGTTCTAAAATGTAATTAAGTACAATGAAAAAATTACTGCGGAAAAAAGGAATTAATTACAAATTCCTTTACCGGCAAATTGTTACTATACATATTATAAGACAATATCTTAAACAGTAGTTATAAATAAAAACGGTATAAACTATGAAATTTGCAAGAATTTATCAAGATGATATTTCAATATATTAAAACATTTGACATGCAAATCGAAGCATGTAAACTGAAAACTTTATTTGCTAATATTTGGCGCTGTGAGCCTCGGAACAAATTGTGGTTTCCACTTTCGCAATAAATAGTACTTCATGTAGGCTATCATGTCATGTAATCTCGTTGAAAATTATTTCAGCCATTTTTCTGAATTGGTTTCGTAACGTTGTATTTTTTATTTCTTATTTTTAACAAAATAAGAAAAGGAATTTTCAATTTGCTCCTTGGAAAGGAACACGTTCCTTGCTTTTGTAATTAATTACGTTTTTCGTTATATTTCTAAAAACGTAACTAAATAAATTACAGGTTAAAATTACTTCAAATGTAACGAGTACACAGTAACGCGTTACAATTGTAACGAGTATTTACAGCTCTGCGCTCACGATTATTCTACGTCATTACTGCATACATTAACCAACCTGCCATCCAGCTGACTAACATTTTAAGCAGTCATCTAAAAATTTGGATTGTCATTTGAAAATTGCCAAAGACCATGTCTTTCCACCATCGAAAGGAATTCACCTTCATGGAAATAATAACATAATGTTAAGGCCATGTTACACAAATAGGCAGTATATGCTGCAACATCAATGCAATTTCTGATAAAAAGCCATGTAATTTAAAATATAAGTCACAGAAAAATTGTGTGCATGGCTCACAGCTTACACTACCTATACACCATTAAGATTATGCTATATTGTAAAGAAAGTGTCAGCAAAACAGAATGCTGGCCATATTAAACTCTCTGTCGCTATTTCATCCGGCAGCTTATGACATGCTTGATCGATGTTGTCATTGACAACGGTTGTCCTGTCCATGTGTTAAAATGTGGTACAGCCCTGAATATATATATATATATATATATATATATATATATATATATATATATATATATATATATATATATATATATATATATATATATATATATATATATATATATATATATATATATATATATATATATATATATATATATATATTTATAAGACAATATCTTATATCTTAGATATTGTCTTATACATATATGCTCTATCTATATGGTATTGAGCACTGTTTGTGTTTCGTAAACCAAAATCTTAAGCTATATATATTTTCACGCGGGTTGCGTGGATTGAGCGGGAGTTTAAACAAAATACAAACAATATTTAATATTGAAAAGAAGTTGGAAAACGTCCGAAAACGCCGAAGAAGTATAATACAGCATGCGTTGTATCTGTTTGACTGTTTGCCAAAGGTAAGACATTTTAATTTTGTATAAACGTATTTTAATATCAAAAAGATATTACAATTAATTTTACTTTGTCTTTTTAAAATAATATTCCCTGGCGACGTTTTAAGCATGTTTACTTTCGTTTTTAATCATGTTTAAACGTTTACTAACTACTTAAAACAGCGCTTTCTTGCAAGCATGTACGTTGTTGAGCGAATTTTATACTTTAGTTATTAAATAAGCCTGTTAAGTGCTGTCTGTTGTTTTGACAGCGATATACTTGTTTATAATACTTGGCCATGCTTTGATCATACTTTAGGCGAACGTATTTATAGAGAATAATACATGGATGCGCGGAAATACCAGATTTATTTCGAGTGTTGAACATGATATCTCACGAGTGAGCGCAGCGAACGAGTGAGATATCATGTTCAACACGAGAAATAAATCTGGCATTTCCAAGCACCCATGTATTTTTCTGTTTATTATATAAAGGACAGTCTTTGAAAAGCGATAATTTTTACAGAAAAGCGATAATTGAAAAACGATAATTTTCACATGTGAGATTATCATGAATAATCTCACATGTCAGATTATCACTTTTATCAGTGCTCGAAGTACTATTTAAAACATGAGCAGCAGTGTTTTATCAGATATAATATTACGAGGCGAAGCCGAGTATCTTTAGGTCTGATAAAACACACACTGCGAATGTTTTAAATTACTTCAAAAACGATCGATCTATAGTAAGTTAATTGCCGAAGTAATTTTCAAAAAATAATTTGTGTAAGTCGAGAAAATCAAAGTTAAAGTTTATGTAAATAAGGGAAATCTCTATCACATATAAAGATACGACACGCTTATGATTTTTTGTGTTTTCCTCATGAATTATTAATGAGTTTTTGAAATCTCTATAAAGCACTGCACTTTATATAATAATAAGATATAATTAATACTTGAATGAATGTAATTAAAATCAATAAACTTATCTTTTTTATTGTTTTTAAAAGGCTATATTTAATAAAGGAAATAGAAAACATTTTTTCCGTGTTTCTACAGAGTTTATAGAAACACTTGTGGAAGTTTGGGAGAAACTCGAAATTGCGTGGAAACACTCGCACTTCTTGCTCGTGTTCCCACGCAATTTATCGTTTCTCCCAAACTTTCACGCGTGTTTCTATAACTCTATAGAAACACGGAAAATGTTTTCTATTTCTTATATATATATATATATATATATATATATATATATATATATATATATATATATATATATATATATATATATATATATATATATATACCGGGTGGTGCAAAAAAAAGTTAACCTGTTTGATTTATTTTAACTTAAAACTAAAAGAGCCATTACACCTAAACTACGTGCATTGCATTCAGTATTGTTTAACTTAAATTTTGATATACGCCCTGTGCAATTACGTGCAATATTGACCGAGAGAGCTGCGTTTAAACTTGAATAAACATTTTTGGAAGTGTCGAGAATCAGCTAAAAACAGCCTGTTAAACTAATTTGATAACTGTTACCATTTTATCGTGAATATTCGTTTGAATGAAGTGAAATTTAAATTAAAAATGTTTATTGGATGGATGTGCTCCTTTATTTTTGCTTAAGGTCTTTGGGAATGCATGAAAATTAAATTATGAAGCGATTTTGATTTTAAAAGATTTATTCCAAATATTCAATGACCCTGGGGAATCAAATTATAATGTTCCAAGAAAGAAACGTCAACAGTTTTTGTATAAATACGCCTCGTTTAACGAAGGTCCAAAGAGTTTCGATATGTTTAGAATATGCAAGGGTAGCCTAAATAATACTCGTGAGGTTATACCGGCGGCGTTGCGCAGGTCTCTGACAACGAACGTGTACTTTATTCTGACTATAGCATCTAAGCACAGGTTATTGCTGTATTAAATATTTGATAGGCCGTTTTTGGCTAATTCTCGACACTTTCAAAAATGGTTACTCAAGTTTAAACGCAGCTCTCTCAGTCAATATTGCACGAAAATGCACAGGGCGTATATCAAAATTTAAGTTAGACAATACTGAATCCGATGC